CCACCTCCATGGGGGACCGGGTCGGGCGCACCCCTTTCTCGATGTGCCTCCGCTATTGTGTTGCGCGCCTCGGGCGGTCGTTGTGTGGGCTGGTGCGGGTTTTGTTGCGGGGCTGTACACGCGATCGAGACGCGACGGTCTTCCCTCTTCCCATGGTTGCCCCCCCCCTGCCACTCTCTGGTCGGGCTCCCCTCCCCCCCTCCCCTTCCCCCTCCTCGGGCCCCCTGGTTCTCGTCCTGGTTTCTTCGGTCTCCCTGGTTCCTCTTCTGGCCTCCTGGGCTCCTGCTCCCCGCGTCCCCCCCCCGGGGGCAGACTGGAGAAGGGCGGCAGGGGGGCCAGCCGCTGTGGGCTTCCCCATCCTTCAGGTTGTACATAGAGGTTATACCGCCTGCTGGTCCGGGAGCCGCGCAGCGGCTACACCCCGGAGACGTGGACGTGGACGTGGAACTGCCCCCCTCGCCTCGAGTTGGCCAGCGGCAGGGCCAGCTACCTGGAGGCGGCCCTCACGCGGATCCTCGAGACGCCACGGGTGGACGCGGAGCTGCTGCGAGCCCTGGTGGGCGCGCGGCCGCGGGGCGAGTCGTTGCGCCGAGAGTTGATGTCCGCCCCGCCGGTAGTCTCTTCGACCTGTTGGAGGAGAAGCAGGGCCAGGCGAAACATTGGCGGGCGTCGGCGAGGAGGGAGGCGCGCGCGATGAATGATCCCTCTCATGATGCACCATGTGGACTTGCCAGCTGCGCCGACTTCGTTTGATTCATATGCGCGCTAATCGAGCGGGCCACGGCGCGCGTGGAATCGCGGGCACCAGCGTCACCAACCAAGAATCGGAGGCAGTCATCCAAGCAGGAGTGCGCCCGGGACATGCAGCCGCTCGCTCGGGCGGTTCGGCAACGCACCTCTGCCGGGCAGATCCAGAACTGCACAACGGCGCGCCTCCGGCGACGCGCGCCCCGCGCGAGGTTCCCCCAGAGCCCGCAGAGCGAAGGGGCCTGGGCGCCAGCAGGTGGGGCCGGGCGAATCACACGATCAGCGGCGAAGGGCGCGCCCTGGCCAGGCAGCGCCAACCTCCTCCTCCTACTCCTCCTCCTCCTCCTCCTCCTCCTCCTCCTCCTCCTCCTCCTCCTCCTCCTCCTCCTCCCTCCTCCTCCTCCTCCTCCCCCCCCTCCTCCTCCTCCTCCTCCTCCTCCTCCTCCTCCTCCTCCTCCTCCTCCTCCTCCTCGTCCTCCTCAGGACCCGCCTCATTCCTGCCAGGGGCCCACGGGAGCGCCACCCGCAGCATGGCGGGCGACGAGCCGCCGGCAGCGGCTGCGGCGAGAGGGGCGCTCGTCGGCCCGGCATCTCGGCTATACCCGCTGGGAAAGATCGGGCCGCACTCCCCACGGGCGGACGCCGCGCATCCAGCGGCAGAGGCGCTGCCCCGAAGAGGAGGCGGCCGGGTTCGGGCGGGGCCGCGCCGGCTCGACGCGGGCCAGGCCGCCTCGCGGGTCACCGCCAAGACTCTCGAAGGTTCTCCGGATGCCACGCTGCGCCTCTCGACTCGGGCGCCGCGGCGCGGCCTGCGCCCCAGTGTCCCAGACCGGCGGGGCGCTCTTGTGGCCGCGCGCAGGAATGAGCGACGGCATGAGAATCTTAACGCCAGCAAATTCTATCAATCTCGTTTCGTCAACAGGGTTTGCTCTCGAGCTTTGCGGAGTCGAGCGGTGATCGCAGGGTGGGAGCGGAGAAGCACGGATCGGAAGCACACAGCCCCACTCGGCAAAGGTCCTGGGAAGCCCCTCGGGGCCCACTGAGCCTCCAGGGGTCACCCCCGCATGGGCTTCGGCATCATCATGCAACGCCATGCGGGTCTTCGACCTTCGGAGCTCCTGGGCATCCTACCTGAGGATGTCACACTTCCGCGCGACCACGGAGAGGGCGCAGACCCGGCCTCAGCATCTAGCGCTCTAGCCCCCAGCAGAGGCACCAAGCTCAAGAGGCAAAAGGTAAGCTGCATCTTCCAGGAGGGCCGGGACACCATGGGCGCGCTGGAGGTCATCACGAGGCCACCCTGGTAGGCACCCCGCTCTTTCCCCCTTCCAGCTCGGCTCGCTATCGGAAGCCGACGGAGAAGGCGGAGGCCTAGCTGGGCCCTTCCATGGGATGGGAGCTCCACGACCCAAGGGCAGGATGGGCCGGCGAGAGTAGAGAAGAGGAGATTCGGGAACAAGGAAAGTGGGTCTTGGATGCGAGCACGAGGATTTACCTAGACATCCTCGAAGCAAGCGACATCCTAACCCAGCTCGACATGAGCGGCTTCGCACAACAGCTGCCCTGGCTCAGGAGGGGTCGGCACCAGTACTTTCCAGAGTCAGTGTGCGGCACCGGCCCCAGTCCACCTCACGGCGCCCAAGGGCTACATCAGGATCAACGGCCCGTGGGTCGAGCGGTCGATCGAGAATGCCCCGCCCTGCCGAGCACGCCCTGCACGCCAGGCAGCTGGGTTCAAGTTCAGACTCCACCGTCTCCCTGCACCGACCTTGCAGACGTGCTGCAGCTGATTTTGCTTGGATTTCTGCCCATACAAAACCCCGCAACGGCGAATGAAAAAAGGAATGGATTTCGCGCGGATTTCTTACAGTCTTCATTCCTGGCCAAAACAATCCGCACGAAATTCACCTTGAAATCCAGGACGAAATTCTCCAGGACACTCCGGGCCCATCCTATCGTTTTCCAAACGAAATCCGCTTTGCGACGCCGGCGCCATGAACCGTCGTCAGCAGCAACGAGGACGGCGTCACCAGGGGCAGCGATGTCTTTCGCGCCGCCCTCGGTCAAGTCGCCGGGGGGGAGGCGCCGACGCCCACAACGCTGGCAGCTGCCCCAGCGGAGGCGGCGGGCCACATCACCCCAGGTGGCGTCGCGCCTCTCTTTGGCAGCCCGCCAGGGCTCCAACCATGAGAAGCCGAAGGTGAACCGCTGCAAGGCGGTGGTCAGATAGGAGGAGGAGGAGGAGGAGGAGGAGGAGGAGGAGGACGAGGAGGAGGAGGAAGACGAGGAGGAGGAGGAGGAGCTGTGAGTTGGTCGGGCCACGGTCCGGGCCCTGCCTCCTCCCGCACAGCGTCCTCGCAGCGATCTTCGTCGCACTCCCAGCGAGCGAACTCTCCCAGACATCGCCAGGGGCGCCGGCGCCGCGGCACACCCGGTGGAGGACGCGGCGGGATAGGGAGGAGCTGCGGCGCCAGCGGCCAGAAGTCTGACGGTGGCTGCACGCGGAGTGGTTTTGGCAGTTGCACGGCATGCGGCAAATTTTGTCGACGAAGCCCGGTCGGGCAATTGGCCTGCCGGCGTGCCGCCTGAACGTCGCGGGCGGCCGAGGAAATCGGCGCGCGCGCGAGGCCCGACATGCCGGCAAAGCTCGAGCGCGGCCTGGCAGCGGTTCTGGATGGGCTCGCACTTGAGCTCTGATCAGCCAAAATCATCTGTCTGCCAGGGCGCCAGTGTCGGCCAAGATGTCAGCCCAGGTCAATTCCACGGAGAACTTCTTGATTTGGGACTCCGGGAGGTGATGCTTGTGGAGCAGGAGATCCTGGCCATCGGGTGCTACGTTGCGCGTCTTGGCTTCGATTCGCAGTAGGCCAATCCGATGTGGGCCCCGACGGGGGCCGATCTGGGTTCGGAGCTTGAGCGCATCATGACCAGAATTCAGAAGGTGGATTTTCCCGCGCTCACCGGCTGGGCGAATGCCTCGCGACCACCTGCGAACTTTCTGTAGCCCCTGGGGTCGCAGGAGGAACATGAGCCTCGGCAACGCCAGGGCGCCTACTGCAGGGGAAACGCGAGTCTGCGCGACAGCAACGCGGCGCAGGGGGAGCACGAGCCTCCGCGCAAGGAGTTCAGAGGGCCATCGAGGACGCCGTGGATGCGACGGCGTTGAGAGCACCTCTCTCAGCTCATGAGATTCTGCAAATGCCCACCGCACGCCCGCCACCGGTGGTACCGTCTCGGCCGCCTGCTGACTTCCCACGTCGACTGCTTTTCTGTACGCAGGCGGGTGTCGGCTCCGATCAGCATCCCAAGCCAGAGGGGTAGTTGTTGGTCGTAGGCGGAGCTTGACATCACAAGTCAGAGCCCGAAGAAATCAAGGGTTGTGGAGTTTTCACACAACACAAGGCCTCGAGATTGATCGCGACAGTTTGCCATGGAGGCCGAAGTCAGGAGACTGAGTGTGCAGCACGTTACGGACTGTGTGCGAAAGTTTGGCTGTGGTCAGATCGCGGTTGCTTCGAAGGAATAGCAAATGCAGCGAAGGAAAGTTTTCAGCGTGT